TTTATACGATTTTCATCACTCCCCCCATACGCACAATACCCGCAGTTATTAATCTGTTTTACCTGCTGCACTCCAGCGCTAAGTAGCTGTCCCACAGTTTAGCAGGGGGGCAGCTGCATCTTCCCCCCAAAGCAAAGGGAGAAGCTTCCCGTGGTTTTTCCTCTGGCACCCGCAGCCCAACCCGGGCCGTCAGCTTCCCTGCGCGCACAACCCGTCCCGCTCGGCCTCGCGCTCCAGCTCCACCACCGACCGGCTCAGCCAAACAGGGCGTTTTCCACGCGCCCCTATCGTGTGCGACGCCCCCATGTGCCTCCCATCTCAGTCCTGCCTTTATCTCGTCCAGACCTGCCCCTCAGTTTCCTTCCTTTCTCCTTTTGTTTCTCTAAATTTACATTTACTGGTTCCATGTTGCTGTTTCCTCCATCAGATCTTCCACAATTTAAAAAGACTGATGACAAGAAACGATGACAAGTGCCTGCTGTCACCACACTCAGACCTTACAAATGCTTTTCCATTTCAAATGGATAAAATAACATGCATTCCTTCTCATTCTTAATGAGAAAAAAAGTGATTTGGATGGATTACTGGCCTAATTAATTGAGTTAACAGAAGACAGATCAAGATGACTGGTATTCTGTACCTGTATCTACCTGGAATAGGCTCAGTGAGTGGATACCTGTTTCATCATCAGATAGACCAGGAACCTGCCACACCTTCCCCCTCCGTAATTTAGTCACTGAAGAATGATTTTGGCAAGGAGATCAATTGTGGCATTTATGCATACTATACATCTAAAGCAATTTCTTTTCTGAAATAAGATGTACTGATTTTAAATTTGAAAATAAGGTTGATTCCAGATCAGAAGCTGGAGGGAACCAAAGAAAAGGGCTTGGTCTGACCATACCACAGTGACTGGTATGAAAATGGATAGTAGGCTTTGGCAAGCTCATATTTGTACCCACAAGTAAAATCCAAGGCTGCCATGAGCTTTAGGAAAATGGAGCGGATTGCAAGGAAGCCTAAGGAAGCCAGGAGAGCAGAAGGGCATGTAACTGCAGTGCAGGTATTGCTGCTAAGATGAAAATCATGACTGGTGTGACAATTTATTTTGTGACTTGCAATCTTGCTTCCCTTTTTTTTTTTTTTTTTTTTTTTTTTTTTTTTTTTTGGGAAACCGGGGGGTTTCTCCTTTTTCCCAAAAAAAAAAAAAAAAAGACATTTGCTAAGAGTGATAACAAATAGGAAAAACAAGAGATTAAGGCTTGTCACATCTGTGACACTGATAACGAAACAGGCAAACACATCATCTTGCCTCTGAAAGGAGAGTATTGGAGCTCAAGCTCCTTAGTTCTTCATGCTTCTGCAACTAAGTGCTGTGAGTTCCTCTAGGCGGAGGCCAACAGTGCAACCCC